GAGAGAGAGAGAGAGAAAGAGAAGAGAGAGAGAGAGAGAGAGAGAGAGAGAGAGAGAGAGAGAGACGGAGACAAGGAGACCGGGTTGACTGAGAAATAAAAATACCATTTCGAACGCAAGGATGTTTTTTTGCGGGATCGTTCAGCATGGTTGATTGCGAGCATGGGGGATCCCAGCGAGTGACAGTATAAATCAATTGCAACGACATCCTGGACAAAAGATGAAAATGATTAGTTATGTGTATGCAAGAGGCGGAGCGATGGCACTCCCCCTATAAGAAACCGATTTTCAAAGCTCAACTGGATCTACTCCACAACCGAGATTGTGCCTTTACATACATCAAGTGTGGACCTACGGATGCTGTTCGCAAAAGACGACGGACAAGATCACAGCTGCCAACTCTCCCAATGCGATCTACAAAGACACCAACAAACCAACCGCCGCGTAAGCACGACCAACATGCCTTGAATTTTCATTTCGCTGCCTGTCGACCTTTCACATCATGCCACACCCATTCGACCGGATCCGGTCGCAGACGCGGGCTCAACCATATTTAACGGTGTCTCCTCTTTCCATCTTCCCCTATTCCCCATTCCAAGCGGCGGCGCAAGGGACGACACGCCAGCCACAATGGAAGACGCGCGGTAAGACATGTCATTGGAGTAGAGAAAGGGCGAAGATTGGCAGCATGACAAAGCACATCAACAAAAAACAGGGCCACGCCTCCGGACTACACAGGAAAGGTCCCCATCACACAGACAGCGAGTGCACCCCAACTTTGACCCAGTCACTGCTGTCTACATTCCGTTGATGGTGCAAGTTTGCCCCTTGAACACCGCCGGTCATCTGACGCTCCATGAACACTCTCAAACCTCGAACGCAGTCGAAAATCTCATGCTCCATAAACACACTCTGAAACACAAGCAGGTCAACAGGGTGCACAGCCGGAGGAGTGTGCGGGTCTCTTCGTAGTGATAGGCATCTAGACTATCTCCTCCCTGGGAACGAGGCGCACAGCGATACAACGCTGCATCAAATGCTCATGTGTACACATGCTCCCGAAACATCGACCGTTCTCCACGCTTGCCTGCAGTTTAACCGATGGGTATATCATGGGGAGCAACAGTGAGGGCGAAGCCCCGTAGCACCCTCACCCCGTTATGTCCGTACGGTGATGGTTTTGTAGTACGGGTGGGCTCAAGCAACACTCCAACGCAACCCCTTCCGTTCCTACCGTAGGTTGCATTAGGTATCACACCCCCTGGAACGGTTTTTAAGGCTTGATTTACTCGGCAGGAAAATCAGTGACGGTGCCGAAAATGTCGGAGTTGGAACCGTCCCGTCAAGAGCTTTCCGAACACGTATCGTATGCCTCCGGCGTGGAGTAATCGAGCTCTGAAAATCAGTCCAGGGGGTATCCAGTGCAGCCCACGGTATTCTTGTACAAGTGAAGGCATGCGTTGAGTTGCTCTCGTGCACTACGCTCCTGCCGTTCTACCTAGCCGTATGTACCCTGTTCGAGATATAGACTATTGGATTGAAGTACACAAACAGAGTCACCGAAAAAGGTAAATGCTCCTTTCCACCCCACCTAATACAAACAATATCTAGACAATATAGTCTAAACCACATGACCTACCGCTGTTGGATGGATGTAGTCTACAATTTTTTGTTGCTCCCCGTACTGCTCTCTCGCCATCCATATCGTGACCCTTCCGGCGCTCTTTCATCCCTACTGCTGCTGCCTGTCCGTCTATCCACGAGCAACGCGCTGTGTGTATGTGCGTGTAGATTGGGACATGTATGAGAGGCGAGAGATAGTCTCTCTCGAATGTCTACACACAGCAGGGCAACCACACCGCCGAACACGAAACATATCAACAAGGCTCTGTGTTTCCGACGTGCGGATTTCGGTTTATTGTTACATAGAGGGCACGGTGCTGCCACGCTAAAGCAACCGCAACATGTCTGCCAGGTACTAGAGCATGCAAACGCCAGTGTAGGGGCTTACCTGCGCCCGCTTGAGCGGCGGTCGGCCAAGGTGTATCGCAGGGGGCGCCTTCCGGTATATGCTGGGGAGGGGTTGAGATTGACAATGTTGCCACACCACCTAAGCTCTGAAAATTCAACTGTGGGTTGCTCTCGGTGTGTAGATGCCATATCCGGTCTCAGATTTTTAATCCGGGGTCGGGAAGGTGGGTTTTCAGCGAAACTTGGTGATTTATCTTAATCAATGTATGGGGAAATGCAAATCAGGGGACACGAACTTTCTGTCCCCCCCCCGGGACAAAACCCCCCCCGGTGTTCACCATCGGGGTTGGGTTTTCGTCGCTTGGCAACGACGTTGTAAAACAAGCCGCCCC